CAGACCATTGCTCAAATCTTTATTTTAAAAACTATATTTTATATATATATATATATATATATATATATACATATATATATATATATATATATATATATATATATACACACACACACACACACACACACACACACACACACACACACACACACACACACACACACATATATATAACGAGAGAGCGAGAGAGAGAGAGAAAATGGTAGCGAGCAGGCAGTAAAATTCTAGTATTGTAACAATTCAATGTTTGGCGTGCAGTCATGTAAGTCATGACTGTACGCCAAACAGGATACACAGATTCACAAATGACAACACCAATTATATGACAAGAGAGTCATCTGTCAGTACTATTCACGGTCTTCACTTTCATTGTCACTCAGCAGTTAATGATCCAGCTGTGTGAATGCCTTCTGTTTGGCATCAGCACTGTCACTGTCTTGGAAAATACCTCCAGCTAAACACTGATCTCTCCTGTGGTTGGTTAGCATCAGTCAGCCTGGCAGCTAACAAACTTAAAATTCTGCTTTAAAAAAAAAATACTATGGTCGAGGACAACACACGATAGACTTGGTTTGTTTGTTTTTTCTCTGTTGAAAGATTTCCTGCCATAGTTTTGCCTTTCAAAACTATTCAAATGTGAGCCTAAAAAGTATGTCGGCTTTATCACAAGGCTGACATACCCTACAGTATAAACATGACAAAAAACCTTGCAAATTGACACCTTGCAACTTGTTCTCTGTGCTGTTGCTGTGGGTACAGAGCCTTACAGATACCGGACAAAGCAAGGCTGAGGCGTCTAAAAATCACCTGCACTTAGCGATAATCCCCGGCTAATGTCTGAAAGTGGACTAGCTCTGACGTACGTACTCTTTGACACCTCTTGGATAATCAAGTTTTACTCTTATAAATGGTTAAATCAGCACTTCCAGCTGTCTTTTATAATGGCAAATGGTAAATGGCCTGTATTTGTACAGCGCTTTACTAGTAATATATAATATTACATTTTAATATTCTTGCTCTGTTTTGGGGTTTTTTGGCATGGGCAAGGGTGGTCCATATCAGCTCCAAGATTCCACCATAATATTATGGAGAGACTTTCCAGCTCTTTGTGTTCATGATTTCAGGCAATACAAGTTTTAATCTCTGCTATGATGACAAAGAGCATCATTCAGCTCCAAAAAATAAAATAAAATAAAAAAGAAACAAGGCAAAGACTTAATTTCAATTTCTACCTGCTACATCACAAATGGTAAAAGTAAACAGTACAAATTGGTGCTTTTCCACTGCAGCACCACTGAAAGTGACAAAATTGCGATTAGTCACATTCGGAACAATCTAAAAACTGTACAGCCACACTACTTTTCTTACCTGTGGATAGGACCACTGGAATCCCTGTGTACAACCATCAGTGCCTCACGTTCAATCGTTCTCTCTCACTAAGCAGCTAATGGCGACAACACTACACAACACACGAGGGAGAGCAAGACTATGCCGCCTGGTCAGGCGTATGGCACCCAAGCACCAAAGCCATTCTCCTCCCATGCCTCTTACATAAGAGAACAGATGACATCCAAACAGGCTTGGTGAGGGTGGGATTAAAGAACAAGGAGGAAGGAGAGAGGAGGGGTGCATAGCAAGCAACAGGGAGACCAACCGAAAGGGAGGGAGGGAGGGAGGGAGGGAAGGAGGAAGAGGAGGGAGGGAGCTGCTGTACGACAGGAAGTCAACAAAAAGGCAATGGCAAGGCCGAAAGAAAGGAGCTGGAGTAAGGGAACAAAAATGCACACACAAATATGTACAGGAATGCAGTGCTGTGGATGAGAGGAATACCAGCTTGAAACATACTATGCAGTCCTATAAAAAATTAAGTATACACTTACTGCTTTCTAAGGAATTAAGAATAGCTACATGCTGCTGATCAAATGCAGTTGGTTGTTGATCATTAGCAAGTGTGAGCACCTCAATAAAAGCAGAAGTTTGAGCAGTTTGCTGGTCTTGAGGATTTGGGTGTGTGCTAGCAATGGGGTGGATGTGTCTTGAGTTTTTTGCAAAAATCACAAGAGCTACATTTTAGACTCTACAGGCCGCAATTACCATGTTAAATGTTAAAGTTCATGAAGGTACAATTTTTAAAAAAAAGATACTCAACAAATATGGCTTGTTTCAAAGTGTTGCCCGGAGAAAACCTCTTCTCTCTAAGAAAAACGAGACAGCATGGCTCAGGTTTGTAGAGTTGCATCAAAACAAACCACAAAACTTCTTAAACAACGTCCTTTGGACAGATGAGATCAGAGTGGAGATGTTTAGCCATAAAGCACAGCACGATGGTTAGAGAAAACCAAACACAGCATATCAGCTGTGTGCCTTATTCTAACTGTCAAGCACGGTGGTAGAGGGGTGATGATTTGAGCTTGTCTTGCAGCCACAGGATCTGAACTGGTCCACCATGAACTAGTATTCTGTAGTCAAACATGACTGTGTGACAGCTAAAGCTTACCCAAACTGGGTCATGCAACAGGGTAATGGTGCAAAGCACACCATGAAAATCTACAACACTATAGCTGAATAAGAACAGAATCAAGGTATTGCAGACCATACCCTGATCACAGAGAGGTATGCATTAACAAATGTTCACAAACCTCAATGAACTGAAGCAACGTTCTAAAGAAGAGTGGACAAAAATTCCTACAAAGGGATGTGAGAGACTTATAAAGGCATACAGAAAACTATTCATTCAACATACTGCTGCTAAATGATTGCACAAGCTATTGATTGTGCTGTGTACTTAGTTTTTCACAGGGTTGCAGTGTCCAAAATTTTCATAATACGACAAGAGTCATATTTTGGTACAGCCCAACTGCTTTTCTTTTTATTTCATGGAAATAAAAATAATAATAAAAACATTTCCTTGATATAGGCCTGCAAAATCATTATCTACATTGTTAGAAGTACATTCGGCTTATTAAACATCACAGAAGTAGTAGAAAATAAAAAATAAATAAAGTCATAAATAAATAAAGCCTTATGCAACAACAACAGCTGTCTTGGTTTGGCTGGCCAACACTCAATAACATGACTCTGATAATAACTTGCTTCAGAAAAAAGATCCTCAAAGACACTTTTTGGTTGTTAATTAAATTATTTTTTCAGCTCATCCATACCAAAAGAAATCTATAAATGCACAGACTGTTTTATTTAACGTACTTTTATTGTTATTTATTCTACTTTTTTTTGCTAAGGAAAACATAAGTGTTCATTATAATAAGTAAAAAAAACATTTTTTTAAGTGTTTTTCAATATTTACTGCCAGCAGTAAATGTCATCTTATCAGTCAACAAAACTGAAAATATATGGTGCAGTTCGACATATAAGCAGTCAATATCAAACTGTGTGTTTAACTTTGTGTAAGTTAAACACACGATATGCCCTTAAATCCAATAATTCATCCTGCTTTGCAGCTTTTATTGCCTCCCAAAAACCAGAGTCATGCAAGTATCATGCAAGTCACAGCAACATAAAGAAGACAGGTTACTTTACATATCCATCCAATAAAAATTGCTAACAAATTGAACTAACAATACCAGTATGAATCCCTGGCTTACTGTACTGAATCCTCATACTTCCGAAAGTCTCCTGTTGCTACTATCAGCTGAATGCTGCAACCTGACAGCCCATCTAATTGGTGTGATTCATTCATGGGTGAATTGCGCTGTTCACACATCTAAGTACAAATGAACTCAGCAACTTTCAAACACACACACACACACAAAACCACACAGAGCTGATAAGGAGGAGGCAGTTAATGTACCAGCCTTGTCATAAACACAGAAGACTTTGGATGTTAAGTTATCTGAGTTAAGGTTGGACCTGTTAACAACATGGTTAAACTCTAGAACCTTAAAGGTGAGCCAGATGTGTCACGGAACAGGAGTAAACCCTCCTAAAACACAGACAGTGCAATATGAGTATATGAAAGGCCACACCTGGCCTCCCATAAATGGCTGGGGATGTAGAGACTAGGCAAAATAAAAGCAAAAGTAGGAGTAGTACGATAATACTTTAAAGTTAGCCCGATGCATTCCACTCATCACCACCACCTCTCATCTACAATGTCACTACATTGTTATTAGAGGTGATGATCTCTCTCTCCCTCCTAACGGTTCTATACACATTACTCAACATGTAGAAACAATGGTGGTCTGTGCAAGAAAATATAAGATGACAAGTTTAGAGGTACGAGCCTGTCAGAAACAGCCTCTTAGTGCACAGCCAGTCAAAGTTCATGTAGGATTATCGCCACACCGTTTGACAGTTGGCTTCACTTGACAGGAAAGCTAAACTTGTCTCATGCTGGGTTCATGGGGCTTTTTCAACTCACGAGGATTAAACAGCAGCATTTACTTTGAGCGAACCAGCCCGTGGGCCGCTGCATACAGCAAATAACTCAATAAACCCTAGTTCCTGTACAGTGCAATTTGATGTCACATATTTACTGCTGTTATCAGCTAGAGCAGCAAAGTAGACCATCAACTCTAAGGTTAAAAATGAAGCCGTTCGGGAGAGCTGGCGTTAGCTTGGGCAAATCGGGCCTGGCAGCGACAGCAGCAGCAGGAGGAGGAGGAGGCAGCGCAGCATTCAAAACTTGACAGCGCGATAGCCTCACTAGCGTTAACTAGCTAGCAGTGTTAGCATCTCGAATAACCGTTACAAAGCCGCATTGAACGCTAGATAGTCGTCTCCAAAGAACACATAAAGCTCTAAGATAGTATAGCCATGAAGATAAAGCGGCTTTCATTTCAAAGCTTTGAAGCTTTACTTTAGAAATTATATTTTTGGTAGCTAGCTAACGTTAGTGCAACGGTTATCGCGGGTTAGCTCAAGTTGAACATGTAGCCTTAGCTTAAGACCCGCCACCAGTCAAAGGAAACACAAGAAGCTGATTAAAAGAATGAAACCTGCGATTATATCAAAGCCAATGTGTGCTAATAAGATAGAGTTACCTGGGCGGGCTCGGGCGATCACCCATCATCCCAGATGTAAATACGGGGCAGTGCTAATGCTGCTACCGTTAGCTAGCGCTCACAGACTGACAGAGTGACCAGGCTGGGAGACACACACCGTCCCGAGTCCCGACCCGAGCCCGACAAGCTGCAGCCGACCAAGTGGCTGGTAGCCCTCCAATCGTAGTACTTTACCTTGATCCTCTGCGGTTCGCAACGGAGACGGCGGCGAGGAGTTATCCTATGTTTGGAAAGCTATCGGGCTATTAGTTAGGCTACCTCCAGTTCGGTGAGAACAGCCTTTCCCCAGCAGCGGCGGAGCAGCAGGAAAATCTTTGGCCTGAAACAGCCAAACCCACGAGTAGCCTTCCTTCCAACTGAATAATCCTCAAACTCCCATTAATTACAAAATACACCTACGATACACACAAACGATTACGTTAACGCATTTACATTCCTGTTATTGATTCACTCGCTCGTCTTCCCCAAAAACCCTGGATTTTGGTGTTTTCTTTGCTCGTCTATGATCCGGGGCTGTTTCCTTTCACCCTATTGTCAACACTGCTGGGTTGAGACCATGGCACACATAACAGAGACACAGCGTAGCGTGCTGGACGAGCATCTGAACCACGTACAAAGCTGATTGGCTGCAGGGAGCGATGTCCGCAATTGTGATTGGACAGCCAGAACTATCAATCACAACACGGAGAAACGAGGCTCCGAATCCGTCGGTTAGGTAGAGGAGAAGGGACAAGGAAAAAGATCGAGGCAGAGAGCGAAGTACAGTGTGTATGTGTGGAGGCTTCACCAGGCAGCGTGCTGGAATGAGGCTAAACCTGTCCGAGGCCCGGCCCTGTACCTCGCTTCTATGTATCCGCATTTTAACGCTCGTTCTGCCCAATCGTTTATTGCACATTTATAAGTGTTTTTGAAGACCTCCTCACAGCCGAGGCGGTGCTGTGTGAAAGACGAGTGCATTTCAGCCCTAGAACCGAAATTAGAGAGGAACACAGCGAGAGTTACATAACTGATATATAGGTCTGTGAATGCGCTATATAGCTAATGCTAGGGCATGCATGGGTGTTTCCTTTACTCGCTCACGTATTGGTTTTCTCTCGCTTGATAGGTTTTTAAAATAACACATTTGCAAATAGTTTCTGCTCCAACTTTACAGCAAATTATACAAATAATTTTTTATTAAAAAAAACAATATACCATATAATTCATATTAGTCGCTATACTGGAAACGTGTCAACTGAAGTGCTACATAGGCCTAGCTATATCTTATGTATTTGAATTACTGGTGCATTAACGTGTAAGTAGCAATAATTATTAGTATTAACGCACTGTGTCCAGGGGTAGTTTTATCTAACGTGTGGATTACTGGCCAATTATGAGGCAGTAGGCCGTGTATAAAGGTTTCGCACATTTCATACAAAATAAAAAAAAACTTCATACCCCAGTGTTTTTCTATGACTGTGGTTGCTTTGCTTTTTTAAGTCGTAATTTTAGTGTCATTTTTCCTCATTTTATGTAGTCACAGCATCTCTTGAGAGATTCCTGCGACTTATTCGTGATTTTTTTTCATCTGCTTCCTCATCATTTTCATCCTTCTAGCTGCGTCTCTTTGAGTTTGCTGTTTTGTTATCATTTCCCTCTCTTCTAGTCCTTTGGCATTTTTTAGTCAAACTGGTGTTTCATAGTTTTCAAGGAGTATCTTTGGTGAGTGTAATGTTGGTTGTGATTTTTTATTATTTTTTGGCTTCATTCAGAACTCCACAAGATTTGGTATGTCTTAGGCAGCGAGCATTCTCAGCAGAATCTCTAGTGAAGTGTTTTCTCACCATTGTCACTAAGGACAGAAATAGCAAAACTGCATCATATTGACCAGTGAAACCACACTTTGGTTTTGCCACTGTAACAATGAAGCCTGCTAGAGGCCTTGTTCATACTAACTGAAGTAAAATTACATTCACACAACTTAGAGGAACCATTTCTCTACAGCTGTATTTCCCATATCAACACGTTTTAGTAGTAAAACCTAGTTTGTAGCAAAGTTAGCGTCACATCTACACTGCTAAATTAGGAATCATGGACTTTATCAACAATTTTAAAAGAATGACCTTAGAAATAGTTCTGTATTATGTTTTTTAAGCAGTCAGGGGTCATATCAATTTGGTTATCATATGAGTGAACAAATAATCATGTGGGTGACCAAAAATGAGCAGTTAGGCATACAGTGACTTATCAAGAATATAAACAGATATTTAAAAGAAAAGATGATGTTTCTCCATCACCCCATTCTCAGTAATGGTCTCATTGTGGTCACTCTATAAAAACTGTGTGGCTCCATCACTGTCTTTCAGTAATATCTGCAGTTTAAGTTTACTCTTTTCTGTGCAATTATATATATATACAGATGTGAAGAAGTCAGTTTTCCTGGGGCTTTGCAGTCGTTTAAAAAACCTGTGACTGAGTAGCTCGTAGAACCAATGTTAACAGAAATAGCTCTTTATGGCTTTAATGACTTTATCAGTCTTTCACATCATTGTAGAGGAATTTTACCCAGTCGTCTTCAAAATGTTGTTTCAGTTCATTGGGCATTCGTTTATACTGAGCCTACTTAAGGTCCAGCATTTCAGTCAGCTTGATGCTTTCCTTTTTCAGATATTCTGTTGTAGATCTGCTGCTGTGTTTGGAATTACTGTCCTGTTGGACCATACCCTTGCAGCCAATCTGTTGGACAGATGACCTAACATTTGAGTTAAGAAAACTTTGTGTACAGAGGAAGTTGTGGTCGAGTCGGTGACTGCAAGGTGGACGGGTCCTGCAGCTGCAAAACTAGCCCAGGTCATCACCCTGTGCTTTATTATTAGCATTTGTGCTGATATGCTGGTACAAGGCTGTGTACATTTTGGCCAAACATCTCCCCTCTCCTCTCGTCTGTCCAAAGGATGTTGCTCCAGAAGTCTTGTGGTTTGTTCAGATGCAACTTGACAAACTTTAGCCACGCTGCCATGTTCTGTTTTGAGAGAAGAGGCTTTCTCCTAGCAACCCTTGCAAACAAGACATACTTGTTCAGTATTTGCTAATTGTGCTGTCATGAACTTTAACGTTTAACTTGTCTGGGCCTGCAGACTCTGAGCTGTGGCTCTTGGGGGTTTTTGTCATTTCTCTTCACGTTGCACAGTCTGACCCTGGGGTGAATTTGCTGTGATGTCCACTTCTGGGAAGATTGTGGGATTATGTTAATGCACAGCTAAAACCGCCAAAACCTCTGCTGTTACAGGGCTGCTCACGCTTTCTGATGATCAGTTAATCGAGTGCATCTGATCAGCAGCATGTGGCTGCTACTTACCCTCTTAAATCCTGTGGAAGCAGTGAGGGTGTACTTAGTTTCCACAGAGTCCTGTGAAAACTTCACATTAAGGTACCAAACATTTATAGTAAAACACAGGATGTGAAGTCCTCTCTGAAACTGAGTACATTAGGTACACCAAATTTGGATAGCTTTTTCTTTCCTTTTACATGTAAATATCATTTAGCTTCCAGAGTGAGACTCCAAAAAGACTCGTCTTTGTTTTGTCTGTCTGTATTTACTAATAGAATGTAATGACTCAGCTGATGTTTTCACACTGCAAAAAATTCATAGAGTAATGAATGGTTAAAAGAATGCAAAGATGAAGCCTGAGTCACCGCAATGATCGCTAATGTGAATGAGATTCACCGCATGACTCCACTGGCTAGAATTAAACACACACACAGACACTTGCACTGCCAGTCTAGTTATTCCACTTGCTGCCATTTGAGAAGGATAGCTGCAGTCTCAGCGTGATCACACTGTGGCGGGCAGCTCGGGTGACTTTCAGGAAGTAATCCAGTAATAACAGCTGGCCAGCTGAAGGAATCATTGCAACTAGAAGATAGAAAGTGTAAAAATGGATATAGGAGGAAGCTGTCAGTATGTCATACTATACAGTGTAACAAGATTTAATGCATAGTATGTTTCATTGTACTTAGTGGAAATCAGTCATCGGGGAACTTTACAATACCAGTTAAACCTCACTTATAACAAACAGTTTACTGTTTTTAAGATGTCCTTGTCCTGGAGATGAATCCTTGTGTTTGGAGACGTATTCCTGCACATGGTGGCTCTTATTTACTATTGACTGCGCCACATCTGTGCCACTTTTTACCAGTATTCTGCCATGGAAACCCTTAAATATGTGCTACAATGGTGTTGGAAGATAATCTGGGCAACTTTACTACAGTTTACTTTTCTTGTAGTTATTCTGCTCATTTCTGACCTTACTGGGGGGTAGGCCTAAATAGCTCTCATTGTGGGTTTGATCAACCAGAGACTCAATCATGTCAATGCTCAGTGTCAGTAGACTGGCAGTGATATGCTGTTTATTAGTAGTAGTAAATGTGAGAATATGCCAAGCAGGGTTGCGGATTATTACTTCTTTTTTAAATTCATTGATTGATCATTTGATCCATGTAAAACAAACACCCACATCAACATTTCAAAGCTGAGAAATCATAAAAAGTCCTGTATTGCCCAACCATCGATTGCGATACAGCAAAATGAATCAAAAACAGCTGAAAATCTGATGCATTGTTTTTTACAGAAACTGGACACTTCCTGCTCATTTCCAGCTCCAGATTTTTATACTCGACTTTGCTTGAGTAGCTTTGCATGATTCCAGTGTTAGAATAATGCTTATTTCTCTCATCTGTCTCAAACAAGCTGTTTTAACTCCTCTTCTTTTAAGTCAAACGAAAATTTTAAACAGCAGGTGGGAGGGTCCTCTGTCCCCAAGAGTACCATGTCAGGAGCTGACACTGGAGCTAGTTTTAAATTCTAGTCATTTTTGGTTGATTAACTATTCTATTAATTGACAAATCATTTCTAGTCTAAAACATGAGTGACACCTGTCAAGTAGCTACAAAAGAGCAAGGGTGGCAATGAATGTGAATCCCAGCAGCATACGATTATGATACCAGCAAACAGTGACGTCTCCTCGTCCGCTTTGTGTCGCTTTCTGGAAAACATCAGATGTAAGCAAGCACATAGGGCACAGGACAGATGAATGTGAGAATACAGACATGAAAAGCTGCTTTTATGATTCAATGAACATAAATCACTAAACCAATCAGTGGAAAATGTCCAGCCAAAGAGAACTAAGGCTGTGCAGAGCTCTCAGGATGGTGGCTGGTGATGTGCTGGAACAGCAATTGTAGCCTAAAAACTGAGATGTGCTTCTAGAGAAATGCTCCAGTCCTGTGTGCTACAAATATAATAACTATAAAGACTGATTGTTGTGGTGCAGTCACACAGCATGCCAAAGTTTTTATTAAACACACACAGCTCTCTTCATATTAAAATACTTGCCCTGTTTGTTAGCTGGGGCCACCAGATCTTTATCAAAGACTAAAATACAATTTGCCTTTCAAAGTCACCTGGTCGCAATTTTCCTGCAAGCTGGTTTCTTTGTAAACACTAAAAAGGTCCACATTCAGGCTGCTATGACACACAAGAATATGTTTTGCTTGTAAACAGAACTGCACAGTAAAAACAACAGCATCTATCAA